TTTAGACTTTAGAGCTTTAGGGTCCCTCGACTGCCCCAGAGTTTGGATGTAGAGTACCGTACTACCGCAGGCTTTGCTTTTCTTTTATGAATGCTGTGGTCAGCTCACGAATTGGTCAACTTCCTTAACACCCAATAAACTCGAATACGACTCTATCACACCAGCTCAACCGCTCTGGGGGCCTCAGTAACTAGAATAAGGCCTGGGGTTTTATCAGTATCATACGATTGCAGAAAACGTCACTACTAAATACATATTCAGCTGTCTTTTTGAAGCCAAACCCTAAACCCTAAACGGCCCTGAGTCTCAGGTTTTTCCCCTTTGCCTCGAAACGTCTGCCGATTTCATCTCCTGTCGGCTGCTAAACTTCGGTTGGACCGCCTGCAGGGGACAGGATTCAGGGGTTCCCAGAGAGCCCAATACCCCTGAATTGAGGAATATACCTTAAATCATAATAGCAAGGCCCCTGTAATTTGAGGTATGTTCCTTATTTAGGGGGTATTGGGCTCTCTGGGTTTAGGGTTTAGGGGAGTTGCGTGGCACAACTGCGAGCTCCGGGATTCGAGTTTAGGAGTAGGGGTTTCAGGGGTCCGAGTTGCTTTTTGGTGGGTGTAAGGGGTTGAGGGATTGAGTTCTTGCCTCATGAAGTTTTAGGTAAGGATTCCATTCAGGGCTCTGTAGAGCCTCATGCGGAGTTTAGGGTTTAGGGGGTGCGAGTCACGCTTTCAGATTTTTTTTTGCTTTCGGATCTTAGGGCTCAGGCTTTGGCCGCCTTCAGGACATTTGGGGCTTCAGGGCTTAAGCTTCGGTGCATGGGCCGAGGTTGGGTTTTCAGCTTTCAACTCGGACATGCGCTCCGCTCATCGCTAAGCCTTGAGCAGTAGCTTACAACATGCTCTAATGCCAACACCGAACCCAATGAAGCAGCGCTACCAACAACGTCAAGGAGGATGATTTTTGGGGGATCCAACTACTACAGACTTAACCATGGACCCTAGAGCACCACCACCACTACCACCACCACCACCACCAGACCCACCACCAGACCCACCACCAGACCCACCACCAGACCCACCACCAGACCCACCACCACCACCACCACCACCCCACCACCACCACCAATGATATACTACCTCTGCTACTACTGCCACTACGACTACGACTACGACTGCTGCTGCTGCTGCTGCTGCTGCTGCAGCTGCTGCTGCTACTACTGCTGCTACTACTACTACTACTACTACTGCTACTGCTACTGCTACTACTACTACTACTACTACTACTACTGCTACTACGACGACTTCTACTACTGCGACTACTACTCCTACTACCACTACAACTACGACTAAACGACGACGACGACTACCACCGCCACTACCTTTGCCACCAACAACAACAAGCATTACTACGACGACTACTACTGCTCCTGCACGATTGCTGCTACTGCAGTACTACTGTTGCTGCGACTGCTTCTCCGACTACTTCTGCGACGACGACGACCACCATCACCACCACGACCACCACCACCACCACCACCACCGCCACCACTGCTACGTCCATCACCACCGCCTCAGTGCAAGGAGGACCAGAAGTAAATGGAAGAAGGTGAAAAGGACGAGGGGGGCGGCATGCCGATGGCGGTTGTGGTGGCGGTTGCAGTAGCAGTAGTGGTAACCGCAGCGGCTGCAGCAACCGAAAGAGAAGAGCACTAAACGTCATGAGCAAGAATATGGTCACCAATATCACCGTCATGGCTGTCGTCATGGCTTTCTCTTATGTTCTTTAACTTTATCTTGCTCAGGGTCGAGAGTCAGCAGCCTGGAGCCACCTCCCCGCAGGGATCTTGGCCGGGACTTGCCAGCGGGCAGGGAGGCCCGGCCTTCACGCGCTTACTCAGGTCTCGCAGGCTTTGAAGCTTTACTGGCTTCGGACTTGGGTTCAGGGATTGCGGACCAGTGTTGTTGTTGCGGGGATTGCAGTTCAGAAGCATCTGAGGTTCACAGGTTAGGAAGGAAGGTTGAAGGCTTCAGGTCTCGCACCTGAGGCTTGCCGCGCCCATTGTGAGTGCTGCTGAGCTTCGTAGAACAGAAGGTACTCAAAGTCTGACTTCTGTGCCCATCTGCTGTGGGGCGCGCCGGCTCAGGGGAAGCTTGCCGAAAGGAATCGGCCTCAGCCGCATCTTCGCCAGCAATGCGATGCAGTGATCCTACAACATGAACTCAGACTCATGGCATACTGTGTTGACTTAAATTAATGACCTGGTTGCAGCCACTTTGATTTGCACGAGTCTGCCGATATCAGTCTCAGCGCCTGCTACGCGAACGTGTTCCTGAGATTCCGGCGGCACTTCCCAGGAGGACGGAATCTCGTCTGAGCAGAGGCACACCATGCGGAAAAGTGAGAACCTCCTGGCTTCGATTTGGGCTTGCCTTTGAAGCTCTCGGCCGAGCCAGGCGAGCTCCGAGATACCGGGGATGACAGGCAGAGCAGCAGCCTCAGAGCAGCGCTGGCGCTACATCACAAGCGGGAGAAAAGAGTGGCCTTGGGCGTGAAGCTTTGGAGGGTTTCGTTGGGGTGCCACCTGGACCTGCTGAGCTCGCAGCACATCGGAACCAGCATCCTTGGATTCGAAGTTTGTGCAAGTTGACGGCAATGCATGGTACAGCATGCAGTCTGCTGAAATGCGAAGCTCACACATGTCTGTGCCACAGCACAAAGGTAACATCCTACTTCCGCCGACAGCTGGTGTTGGGCGAAACAACTTTGATGCGGCCCAGCCGGTCCTTCATCTGCTCGGAGATTCGAGGGCCGGTGAGAACCGACACGTCGGTGACCTGGCACCATGGGGCTCGCACGGCCAACACATGCATGGTGTGAGAAGGTTCAACTTAAACACATCAAAACCGCTTGCTTCATTATCGTTCAAGTCAGATTCGCACCTTGTTCAGCAGGATCGCGAGCGCAGCCTCGGAAAAACATTCAATCATGCTGTTCCCGGCTGTGTGTACGCGTCAGTCCATGCCGCCTGGCTCAGAACGTCGGATATCGAACGGGATAAACATGTGTCCAACTACTGTGTACCTCTGTATATCTGTCCGACTGCCTATCTACCTGCCTGACACCCGACCTCTCTACCTCCCTACCTCCCTACCTTCCTACCTCCCTACCTCCCTACCTCCCTACCTCCCTACCTCCCTACCTCCCTCCCTCCCTCCCTCCCTACCTACCTACCCACCTACCTACCTACCTAGCTTGCGAACTAACTAACTGACTGACGGACTAACTGACCATCCATCTGCCTATCCGCCTGTGTTTTCCTATGCAACTATCTTCCGATCTGTCTGTCCATCTATCTATCTAGGTAATGCATATCCATCCATGTATTAGTCTATCCGTCCATCTATCTACCTGTCTACCTGTCTGTCTGTACATCCATCTATCCATCCATCCACAAATGATACGTCAAGCCAACTGTTTCCCCGTCTGTCGGCCTGCCTGCCTGCCTATCAATCTATCATACATCTGTCGCTTTGTCTATCACTCTCATCCATCCATCCATCTATCTATCTTGCTTGCTTGCTGCGCGTCGGGGCCGAAACCCTCAGGCCAGAAGGCTTTCCCAGGCCTAATTAATTATTTCCAATGTTAACGACAGTCTCGCCCAATTTATTAAATCAAGAGCCCCCCGGTACCCGCGCATGCGACCCTGCATCCAACTCACGCGAACGCAACAGTCAGCCGCACATGGGTCTTCCGGGGCTCGTAAGGAGTGCAAAAGGAGGCAAAACTGTGCCAGAGCGAACTAACCTTTCCGCCTACGTACACGTACACAAACACGTACACATACACGTACAAATGCACGCATGCATACGTACATACATACATACATACATACATACATACATACATACATACATACATACATACATAATACATACATTGACATACATACATTGACATACATAAATACATATGTATATAACTGCATAAACACATTCCTTTTACATAGACATATGAAATATACATGTGCGTATGCATCTGCATACACATATACCTATACGTACACATACACATACATATACACATACACATATA